CAAATTGCGAACACTTATTCGTTTAAAAGTCTTTAATTGTTCCCAACTTAAATATATTACAACTAAAAAACAAAAGAAATTTTTCCATTAAAATTTTAGTTTGGTTACGAAAAATGTTTCGTAATATATTATGAATATTTTTTAAATTAGCGTTATATAATATATTAAATGCAAGCCCCTAATTTTTTTCTGAAGCAATCTAATTAGAAATTGTTTAATATAATCGATACTACATATAATTCCATCTTAAAGCCTGTGCTCTACTTCATTTTAGTTGACATTGTTATTTGGCTTACATATTTCAGAAATTTCAATTTTCACATTTTTTATCAGATTTATATTTATTTATTCGTTTTTGGGAACCAAAATTTGAAAATTTTTAATTTTTTCGAATTTTAAATCGAGCACTTTTAGCTTATTTGACAATATAAAATTATTCGCGCATCGGCAAGTGACGCGTTTGAACTTAGTCCCGCCCACTGTACTTTGCTAGGGTGCGCAGGTCAGTGTGCGTGTGTGTGTGTGTATTCAAAAATGGCTAATCAAGTAGATAAATGCAAACACACACATACAAGGACACACACACGTACACTTAGCTATGCAGCTTGAGGCACTCACACGCACATAAACTATCATACACACACACACACATTGATATCAATTCAATTCAGTTGCGCAAATTGCTTAACTTAAAAGGAAAATCCAATCAAGCTGCTTTGTAAATCGAAATGAAAATAAACAAACACAAATATTCAAATATTCAGAAACTTCCGCCATATGTAGACCAATGTCAATGCCGAAATGAAATATAACCGTTTTTTTCTCGTAATGCGAAATGCATACAGAATTAACTAATTGTACGTCAACAACTTAGCGGAAGCTACGCGCACGTTGTGTGTTTCACGGCATGTAAGCAACTAATATACATATGTTTGTTTCAATATTTATGTAATGTACTTACAAATCGTATGGCACATATGCTGCAAAGCAATTTAATAGATTTGATTGTGGAAAAACTTGCAAATTTGCGCACAAAAAGAAATCAATAAGCGGCACTACACACACACGACTTCACAATGCTTTGGGCAGCATTTAACAGACAGCTGTTCGTGCAGCGTTGCCACTATGTACGCTCAGTTTTCACTGATGTGGCCATTTTGTATGTACGACTAGTGTTGTCAAATGGCTGACGTGATTGAAGGCGCGCGCAACCAATGCTGACGTCATGGCTCAGCTGATTATGCGTATTTTATTATCCTTAGCTTTTATTAATAGTGGCGATGATGTAATATTTTGTAGTTGTTAAGAATGTTGCGCCAACTTGATATTAAAATGAAATCACAATTTCGTTAATAAGTTTAGTGTTAAATTGACAAAAATGTATTTGAATATTTTGCTAATTTGATTGGATTGATTAATTAGCAAAAATTAGAAACAGCAAATCAACAAAATGAGCAGCGACAAGCATGCCCGTTGGTACTTTGGTGGCATTGCCAGCGTTGGAGCGGCATGCGTGACACATCCTCTGGACCTGCTCAAGGTGACGCTGCAGACGCAACAGGGCGATTTGTCCGTGCTGCGGTTGGTGCCAAAAATCATGCAGGAACAGGGTGTCCTGGCCTTCTACAACGGTTTATCTGCCTCGATCCTGCGCCAAATGACATACTCGACGACACGATTCGGCGCCTACGAGGTGGGCAAGGAGTTCGTCAACACGGACACCTTTGCGGGAAAAATCGCTCTGGCCGGCCTCTCGGGCATGATTGGCGGCATCTTTGGCACGCCCGCAGATATGATAAATGTGCGCATGCAAAACGATGTCAAACTGCCGCCCGAGCTGCGTAGAAAGTATGTGGACGAACGAAACAAACTCAATTAACGCCCAATCCAATAATAATCTATATACTCTCTCAACAGCTATCGCTCTGGCGTGGATGGCATTATCAAGGTGTACAAGACGGAGGGCTTCAGGAAGCTATTCTCGGGCGGCTCGACGGCGACGGCTCGTGGCGTCTTCATGACCATTGGCCAGATTGCCTTCTACGACCAGATCAAGTCTACGTTGTTGGCCACGCCCTATTTCCAGGACAATCTGGTCACGCATTTCACCGCCTCCCTCATGGCCGGCGCCATTGCCACGACGTTAACGCAGCCCATGGATGTGCTGAAGACGCGCTCAATGAATGCCAAGCCCGGCGAATATAAGAGTCTCTGGGACATTGTGCTGCATACGGCGAAACTGGGGCCGCTCGGCTTCTTCAAGGGCTACGTGCCGGCATTTGTGCGTCTGGGTCCGCAGACGATATTGACGTTCATGTTCCTAGAGCAGCTGAGATTAAATTTCGGCTACCAGAAGCAGTAACATTCCCGCCTGCAACTAGTCTAAGATGATGTTAATTGCATAAATTGCAGCTGTTGGCCTTTTGTTTTTAATGTATATAATTTGCGACTTTTAGATCAAAATTGAATTTTATGTTATGTAAGCTTTGATCGAATTATAAACAATATTCAAGCTGGGCGGAGTTTCTATCGTTACAAGTCCATTAAAAAAAAAAAATACATAAATTCGTGATTGTTAAAAAACATGCTGGCATTTCCGTTGACACTTTTGATTTCGATCGGGCTACGTGGCGGATGCGCAACGCTCGCATGCAATAGCATCCGTATAAATAGCTCGCTCGCCGCTCGACAATTTTATATCCGATTGCAATGTCTGTGTACTTGGTGCAGCTCTTCGCACTGCTGCTGCTCGGCAGCGGTGTCCCTGTGCAAGGCGGCGAACACAATTCAACCATAGGCGAAATTTCCAAGACTCACGAGGACACGACGATGTTCGTAGCTGACTTAAGAGTCAAATACCAGGAGGAAAACACAAGCGCCGTTTTCAATGGGGAGCTGAAAATGTTGACCAGCCTAGACAACGATTGGAAGGTGAGTTATATGTGTATAAATCAATAAGAATATTTATGCAAAGTATAAATAGGTAAGTGGAAATTCTCATAGTTTTGCAATAAAAGGATCGAGCTTAATGACACTTGCTAACTGCTATAGCACTACATTAGCTTTGATTGTTGGCAACATATAGCTCGCTGATATGACACTGCTTTGACTGCTCATAGCAGGCTGACAACAGCTAGCTGTTATGAAATAATTTAATTTTATACATATAAATTTCATATACAGACATGTACATATGTATATAATTCCGTTTACATATATGTACATATATCTCATCTGAGTAATACATATTTATTAACTTTCATCATCAGGTAAACATAACAATTCTTAAGGCGGATTCACCATCATCGGAGTATAAAGTGCACAAGGACTATCCCGTGATGGGTGTCTGCGATTTGATGGGATCGCTATACAAGAACTTCATATATGACAAGATAAAGGACTATTCCAATGCACCCGATCCAAAGAACTGTCCATTATCTCCCCAAGATTTCCACATTAAGGAGTACACACTGCACGCATCGAAACTGGAGAAGTATTTGTCGACTGGCTTCTATATAGTAGATGCACAACTATTGAATAACGACGAAATCAAATTGGGCTACCAGATGGAAATAGTGATTGCTTAACCAATGCCCTTTAATGCTTGAATCGTTCGATTGAATAAAGAAACTATTCGTAGTTAGACATTTGCTTGAGGACTTCGTCGTACACGTATTTCTTGGCCTCAGTGCCCCAGATAAAGTCCAGATGGGCCCATTTCTCGAACGGCACCAGATAATCGAGCGCCATGTTGGGCAGCTCATCGCGCAGCTTGCGCACATCCTTCAGATCGCACATCCAGTCGTTGGCGCCATAGTACAGTAGGACGGGTGCCTTGGCGTTCTTTAGCTTGTACTCCGGCGGATAGTAGCTGCCGTATTCGTAGGGATTGCGTATCACAGAGTAATCGAACTTGCGGAACTTGCCGGAATTGTGCTCCTGGCAGAAGTGCAGATTCTGATTGACCGAAGCGCCGGCGGGCGATGTAGCCTTGATGTGCTCCAGCAGAGCCTGCAGAGAAATCGAAATGAAGCACGTCATACATCGAGTTATATAGCTGTCCTCTTCTGTCACTTACATAGTCCAATTGCTCGGAGTCGTAGCCGCCGATCAGGAAGATCTCGTTGGCGCACATCTCAGCGTAGGGCGAGGTGGCTTTGCACATCTCAATGCCCATGTCCTGCTTGAACTTGTTGCTGGGCATGAACTCCATGGAGCCGCAGAGCTCGACCATGGCATTCGGCTGGCCCAGAATGGGAGCGAAGGCGCGTGTCAATGGACTCTTCATGTTGCCCATGTAGGCGGCGGGGCCCAGCAGATGGGCGGACTTGATCTTGGCATTGTATTCGGGACGCTCGGACATCATGACCAGGTAGACGGTGGTGCCCTGCGAGTGGCCCACATACTGCAGCTGGCTCTCGCCAGTCACACCCAACACGTAGTCAATCATGGCGGGCACATCGTACATGCCAATCTCGTTCCAGCTAAAGTTCCAGAACAGCTGCCAGGAGGTGGGCCACACTTTGTGCGCCTTGGAGTACGTATTGCCGCGGGCATTGCCCATCCAGACATCGTAGCCGGCATCGGAGAGAATGTAGGCCAAGGCCTTGCCGGGACCCATCAGCACCCAATCGGAGCTGGAGCTCAGCATGCCGTGCATGAGGAACGCAACTGGTCGCTTTCCAGTGTCGCCCGTCTTGGGGGAGTAGGGTATGCGGTGCATGGTCAGAATGTAGTTGTCCTCGGTGACCACGGTATGTCGCTCCATGGGATAGCCATCATCCTTTATGCGTTCGCCCTGAAAGCAGTTGAAATCCAGGAATCACAATTTGACCCAAGCTAACTGTGGATGGGTCTTACGCAATCCGAGATGGGTCTCTTGGCAGCCACAGCCAGAGCAAGCGTGCCCAGGAGCAGGCAAGCGCAAATCAAGTGTCTTCTCATCTTGTTCCTTCGTTCAGTATTGCGCTTAGCCTGGCAAATCGAACGCCTTATATAGGCTGCGCATCCGTTATCGCCTCTATAAGATCTGATATGCCTGCAGCACTATCTATTGATAATATTCAGTCTGTGAGTCGAAATTTTTATTTTCTTACACTGTGTTTACCCCCCCAGCGAATCGAATGCTATGTAGAGCCATGGGTCTAATCTATTTATTTTCTATTTTTGATTTGAGACAGTTTTGTCTCTAATTTACAATTCGCACGATCCTCCGTGCTACTTCAGCACATGTCTGCCTTTATCATCATTATAGTATATACGTATATATATAATTTTTGTTTTATTTATTGAGTTTCTTGTGCAAAAATCTTACAATCGTGTGTATACTATACTCGGGTACTATAAATAATTGATTTGATAAGTCCAATCGTAAGTTCGCTATAAACTCTATACAAATTAAAATCCATCATCAGGACAGCATGACAAAATTGTTTGCTATTTGTCTGCCTATAGGCATAGGTCAATGTTTGATATATATAATATATATTATTTAGACTGTGACGTGATATGACATATAGACTACCTAAAAAAACCCACTGAAAATTTTAAAAACAAAAAACGGCATCACGTTTTTGGTGCAAAACATGCGGCTCTATATCATCCATTTTAATCCAGTGAACTCGTAAATTATAAAAGCATAACTGGTAGACATTAGACATTTAGTTAATAGATGCCTATGATGATTCCATGGCAGATACATTTTTATACCCTGAACCCATTGAAAATGGGAAATCAGGGTATAATGGTTT